ATGGAATTTGGGCCGGGGGGGGAGGGGGGGGGGCGGCCGCTCCCACATTCTCCCTGCAAAGCTTTGCCGCAAACGGCGCTTTCTCCAAAAATACCCATTTTTGTTAAAAATAATATCGGGGCGGGGGGGAGGGGGGAAAGGGGAGGGTGTCCAGCGAGAAGCCGCACCGCGTTGTCCCTCTTCCCATCCCTTCATCCCGATCCCGGTGCCCCGGGCTCCCGGCAGGTTCCCACGGTGCCGCCCGCCCCCGGGCCGCCCCTCGCCCCCCCCCCCGGGGAGGGGGCACCCCCGCCCGCCCTGCGCACCCGGCTCCGCTCCTCCGTCTCTCCAGTTGTGCTTTTTCCTTAATTTTCTTTATTTTCCCTCCACCCTCCTTTTATTCTCCATTTTTCCTTTTTTTTTTTTTTTTGTTTGTTTGTTTTGGTTTGTTTGTTTTGTTTTGGCGGGTTTTTTCTTCCTTTTTTTTTCCCCTCTTTTTTTCCCATTTGTTTCCTCTCTTCGCCCCCCCCCCGGACGATCACGAAATTCCCTATGGCCGCCCTCCGTCCCCGCAGGAGGCAGTGGAGCCCTGCGGAGCTCACAGCCCCCAGCCCCGCACCGGGCATTGTCCCCCCTCCCGGCATTCAGGTAGGACGGGGGGGGTGGGAATCTGGGACGGAGAGGGGGACTGTCTGGAAACGTGGGAGGCAAAGCAAACTGATACCTCCCAACCCCGTTTTGGGGGGCTGCCAACGTTTGGGGGAGGGGGGACACACCCCCTCATCGCCAACCCAGCGCTCAACTTTGCACCCGCGGGCTGGGCACAGACCCCACTGGGACCCCCATCCCCATCTGCTGGGACCTCCCCCCAAAATCCCCTTTTTACCCCAGTAAACCCCCCCGTGCTCCCCATCCACAGCCGGGGGTGCTGTGCATCCCTTCCGCCCGCCGTTTTTAACGTGCTTACTACACGTTTCCAGGGTGTTTTTGGAGCTATATTTAAAGCGTGCAGTCAGCGGCTGGATTTAGAAATCCAGGCATAAATCACATTAAAACACGGACGGCAACGATCCCAACGCGTCGGCAAAAAAGCTTTGCCCTGATTTCGTTCCTTCCCCACATCTTAAAAGCAGAACCAAGTCCGACAGCAGGGTCCCATCCCCCCAAAGAAACCCCCCCCCAGATAAAAACCCCCAATAAAACGCTGTGGGGACAGAGGTGGGATCTGAAGGCAAGGGGGTCCCTACTGGGGTTTACTCCAATGAATTCATGGGGATTTATTCATCGTTGGGGGTTTGGTTAATTCCAAAGCTTGGGGTCTGTCCCCACCCCAGGCCCTTGCCTGCAAGGAAAGAGCTGCCATCCACGGGGGAGGGGGGGGGGCTGTGGGGTGGAGGGTCCCCACGAGAAGATCCCCAGAGAAACAGCTCAGGAACCGAGCAAGGAATTTCTGATTAATGACCAGAACAGCTTGGGATTTTGTTTTTCTCCATAAATCCTGGCTGATTATAAACCCCTGCGCTCAGCCTGGCTGTGGGCTTTGCATGGGGTGGGGGGACCCCAAGAAATTCCCCACTCCCCCCCCCCAGGGCCTGTACTCAAACTGGGCAGCAGCTGGAGGCTGCAGCATCCTCCCACTGTCTGGGCTCTGCTCCCATTGCCCCACCGGAGCAGGGAAGAAGGGAGAAGGGCTGGGGGGTGCACAGGGATGTGGTTGGTGCCCCCTCCCTCCCCAGTCCACAGCAGTTCTGATCCCCGCAGCTCTGGGGTTTGTAAAGCCAAACATCCCCCAACCCACAGTCTGATTTTCAAGTCCAAATAAAGTCCGATGTCTTTTTTTTGCCTTGTCCAGCACAGGAGGGTGGGTGTGTTGGCACAGTCCCATCCTGTTTCCTTGCTCTGCCACCTGCACGCTCCCTTCCCCCCTCAAAATCCCAAACTGGGACCCCTGGTGCCAGGACCTGCCCCGTGCTGGGTGCCCTTTGCTTTTCATAACCTCCACCAAACCCCTGGTACCGGGATTTTGTCACAGTTAGACTGGATCTTGGATACATCAGGTTGGGTTTGGGGCTTTTTTCCCTCTTTTACACGATAATAAGCTTTTTTCATCCAAGATCAGGGGAAAAAAATAGGCAAGGAAGAGGGCTGACATGCACAACCCATAGAGAGCTTTGAAAGGAGCACGAACCCCAAAGCTGTAATTATTGCCTGTGTTTTTTGGCTACAAACCGGCTGCTAAATTGGTCGTAAGGCACAGAAACGGCAGCTACACCTTTCAGTGGAAAAAACGTGGTTTAATGGAGGAACGTGCATGGGAAACCTCCCCAAAACTGCAGTCCCCATATAACAGCCCAGTATTACAGGTTCTGCATTCAAGAGTTTAAAACATTCCTCCACCCAGGTGAACAGGAACGCTGAGCCCCGAATGACAAGACCTTCTACATCAACAGAGTAAATTGGGGATTTTTCCCTTGATCTGCCAGCTGTATCAAAAATACCCTCCTGGATGCAGGACACGGGCGAGCGAGAGGCAGGAGCATGTGCTATTTTGAGGTTCAATATAAAATAGATACCCTTGGCTTCAGCAGTTCTCCGTAGCCCGGCCCACAGGAGCTGCAGGTACTTTCGTATGCATACAAAACATTTTAAAATGGAAAATATTCACAGCTGCTCTCGCCGTTTTGACAGGGGGGAAGGAATCGTGGGGCATGTTGAGGAGATATTAAAAGCTGTGGTTTGAAGCTCCTAAAGCATTTACTCAGCGGGAGAGCCAGAGAAAGAAGTTTAGAAGTTAACTGCATACTTGTGTGCCTTTGCTCTGTCCTTCTTAAAATTCACCTCTCCTATCTGCTTCTAATTTAAACAAGCAGAGCCCTCCAGGAACTGGAAAATCCAGATTTGCAGCATCTCCCAGGGAAAGACGATTTCCTACGTGCCCCCCCAGCACGAGGGTCCTGCTGAAGGTTAAGCTCGTGAGTGCCTTTGGTTTTGCACCGAGTTAATCTCCCCCCAAAGTAAAAGACCTGGGGAATGCTGGTGGAAACTGCACTGATGTTGCCAGCTGGTCCCTGGTTTAGTCCCATCCCTCTTCCAGAGCCAGGCATGGATTTCACCACACTGCAGGTATTGAATGTCCGTCCCCACACCGTGCCCTGTCCTGCTTCAGCTTCCCCTTCTGAAAACAGGGTAAGCCCATCCACCTCCCCAGGGTACATTATCGTGGCTTAAAATTAACACTCGAAAATGCATTTTCAAATCCCTTCATGAGAGGCACCAGAAGCACTGGGTGTTAGCAGAGTAGATCTTTCACCTTTTAACAGCTGTTAATTGCCATTAAACCCAAACATGCACAGCTTTAGTGGAACAGCATCCGAATTTCCATGTCGTGTTGCAAAGCCTGTGCCCGCCCTCAGTTGTGCTCTCTGGCACGTGCCGGATACCTCGACAAGGTGTGACGGATAAATCCTGCCTCTCTGGTAGTCATCTCCCACACTGGGACCCATTTTGGGGTCCCCTTTTGCCAGGCTCTTTCCTTCGCCCTCCCCACCGTGCTGTGAGTTGTTGGCACCCAACCTGCCGTCACTGCACGGAACTCCAACACACCCTCCCTGACTCGCAGCAGAGAAGTAGATGGGATGCAAAACCTGTTCCCAAAAATACCCCAAAGAAGCAAGCAGGAACCTGCCCGCAAGGAACTGTGTCCCTAAGGCTGAATCCAGCCCGCAGCTGCCAGGAAAAGCACGTGCTGGGTGTCACAGGGATGGGAATAGCCCACTGTGACAAACGGGAGTAAATCAAAGTCATCAACAGGCAGGACTGGGGCAAGGCTGCCAGCACTGCCCTCCCTGTAGCCACCACTCTGGGGGAGTCCCTTCCCTGCTCTCTTTGGGGTCTGTTGAATCAGCCCCATCCACAGCATCCCTCCATCGCCCTGGGACTGCCCTATGGAACAGTCAAGTGCCAGGCAGAGGAGAAGCCCTTGATGTCGTGGCAGGAGTTTTCCCTGAGTCCAGGAAGCCGCTGGCTCCTCACGGGTACTTTGTGCACCCCCAAACAACCAAACCCAGCTGGGAGTGCCCTGCACCAGGTACCAAACTGCTAAAACACGTGAGATGGATTCAGCAGGGCAGGAGGGGAAGAGGTATCTGTGGCTCCAAGCATCTTGTCAGACCCCAGTGTTTCCCCCCCCAAGCCCCAGCACAAGGAGGGGTGTCCATGGCTGGCTCCCAGGGCTATCCCATCTCTTTTCCCATCACCCCAGTCCTCTGCAAGGGGGAAGGGGCGGTTGGACAAAACAAGCCCTTTCTGCTCCACAAAGCTCGTCAGCCAGCGGCTCTGGGCTTATAATTATTATTTCCTTAAAGACGAGCCGAGCAGCTATAGACAAAAAAGCCCCCTCTTGTCGGAGCTGGAATTTGATGTCCTAACGACTGTTTTTGTACCGTGCCTGTTAGAGGAAAGAGCTCGGCAGGAGGGGGAAAGAGAGATTTAATTATAGAGCTGCATTGTGATTTTGCACACATAGCTGGCTGTTGTAATCAGGTTACAAGTGTATCTGATTTTCTTCCCTCCCCTCCCTCTTCCTCCTCTTTCTTTCTCTTTTCTTTTTTTTCTTTTTTTTTTTCCCCTCCCCCTTTTTCCTTTCGGTGGTCCAAATTAGTTGCTTATGTTTGGGTGTTGCAGAGAGGAGCTGTTATTTGCCTGCACTGAAGATCTTGATCAAGGGAACAATGTTTCCAAGGATCCTCAGCAGCTCTTTGCTGGAGGAAGCCAATGGTTCCCAGCTCCACCAGAAACCCCCCCCCCCCGGGCTGTGCCAGGCACTTGCATCCCACCATCCAGGGGCTCCCACCACCACAATAAGGAGGGACACCCATATATACATATATATATATATATATATATGCCCCAACTCTCCCATGCTCCCCACAAAATTCCTTCACATCCAGGATTCCCTCAATAAATTGAGGCTTATGAAGAAGAGGAGAAGCTCGATTTACCTCCACTGGAGCAAGAGAAGCGAAAGAGAGGAGAAAAGAAACCTTTTTAAAAGAAACTTTATATTTTCCTATCTGAGTCAAGTGATGCCGCACTGGGATTGGGGACTGTTGTTGGGTTCATTTAAGAATCTATTGTTGTCCATGTGAATTCTTTTTTACATTTCAAATAACAGGATTATTTCCCCAGGGGGTAATATCCTGTAATTTGAACACAATAATGGGAATAAATTACTTACTTAGAACTAATAACGACAGCCTGATTCCAATATATATAGGAACTGTAACAGCTTTGGTTAGTTAAAGTGTAATTGTGTCGACGGATGACATTTTCTTTCAAAGGAATCTGAATGACTTTTAATTAAATTTGCTGGGGGTGGGGAAGAGAGGGAGAGATACACTGGGAGATCTCGGCTGCCGAGGCTGCGGCGGGTCCCAGCCCCGGTGCCCCAAGCTGAGCTCAGCCCCAAGCAAACCCAGCCCCGGCTGCAGTTTCCAGACCAAGCACAGAACAGGGAAGAAGGAAACCAGCGCCAAACCCCATGGCCCAGGGATGGAGGGATGGTGGGATGGAGGACTGGAGGGGGTAGAGAGGATGAAGAGGGGTAGAAGGGATAGAAGGCTGGAGCCCAGCCCATTTCCTGAGCTCCATCCTGGCAGAGGGCAGGGCAATGCCCATATCCTGCCCTGGGCACCCCTGCACTGCCTCTGCCTGTGCTGGGGAACGGAGGAGCTGATGGAGGCACCAGCAGCCAGGCAAGGAGGATCTGCTGCTCTTGTTGGAGCGATGAAATCACAGAATGGGTTGGGTTGGAAGGGACCATAAAGACCATTTCAGTCCCACCCCCTGCCATGGACAGGGACATCTTCCACTATCCCAGGTTGCTCCAAGTCCCATCCAACCTGGCCTTAAACAGTCCCAGGGATGAGGCAGCCACAGCTTCCCTGGAGAACCTGTGTAAGTGCCTCACCACCCTCACAGGGAGGAATTTCTCCCCAGTATCCCATCTAACCCTGCCCTCTGGCACTGGGAAGCCATTCTCCCTTTTCCCGTCCTTCCAGGCCCTTGTCCAAAGTCCCTCTCCAGCTCTTGGAGCCCCTTTAGGCACTGGAAGGGGCTTTAAGGTCTCCTCAGAGCTTTCTCCTCTCCAGGCTGAACAACCCCAACTCCCAATATTGCCACCTCAGCCCAGGGGTCCCTCAGGGAAGGCAGCTCTGCCCCAAGGAGGACCTGCACCAGCAGCCCTCCATCCCAGCTCCTCACCCTCACCCCAGAACTCCCCTGCAAGCCCCGGGCTCTGCACGTCTCCTCACCACTGCCTTCACTGCCAACCACTCCTCAGGTTTATTTCTGAATCAGCAGCACGAGAGGTTCCCTTCAAAGGCAAAAAAAAAAAAAAAAAAAAAAAAAAAAAAGGCATCTTTCAGCTGCAGCACTGCAGAAAGCCAAGTTCCTGCCCCGAAATATGCCGGAGAGGAGCTGTGTGCTGCTGCCAGTGGCTCCAGCCTCCTCCAGGACTCATTTTCCTCTGTTTATCTTGAAAATATTTCTGTGCTGAGGTCCCACCCCGTGCGGCGGAGCCCTGCGAGGCCGCCTCCAGCCTCACACACGGCCTCTTGTTTATCCACAGCCAGTTTTACAAATAGCTTATTAAGCCCAGAGGTCTGTTTGGTGGAGGAAAACCTCACGGAGCAGCTCCTGCAGCCCCCCCTCCGAGGCTCCTGCCAGCAGTGCCCCCTCCCAAAACCCCTCTGACATGCACCGAGTGTCTCAGGCCTCTGTGGCTGCAGACAAATGTCTGCTGGGTTTGGGAATCACTCAAGATATAATAAAATAACCAGTGTGCTGGTGGAGGAGGTCCCACCACCTTCGTCCTCTCCCTGCTCCCAGGGTCGATATCCTACCTGGGATTTTGGCATGGCACAGGGATGCCATGGCACTGCCAGCTCTGGTTTGTGTGACCCTGCAGTGGCAGCTGCCGGGTAGATTTTGCCTTTTGTAAGACCCTTCTGCAAGGGCTGTTGGTTTGGGGGAGGGAGTTGCAGGGGTTCAGATTGCAGGGAGTATATTTTGGGGGCTGCTGAATTGGTCGTGCTTTGGAGGTTGCTGAAAACATGCCCAGACCCAGACAGCTGAGGACAGTTGGATGCTGCGTACAGTGGTCCTGGAAGGAGCCCATTGGGACCATGCCTCAGATTCCCTCCTGTGCCTCTGCTGCCCACCCAGCCCCAGGATCCCCAGGAGGCAGCTGGGATGGAGGGTTTCAGCCCACAGCAAACAGTGTCAGGGATGTCCCACAGGGCTCAAGCCCAGCCACGGGCACCTCTGTGTCCACAGAGTCCAGCAAACACGTGCCTGAGCACCTCTGTCCCTGCTGCCACCTCTGCCCTGGGCAGGAGCCCAGCTGTGCCCAATCCCCAGTGCCCCATCACCACAACTTGGGATGCCCACCCTGAGCACCCCCTCCCCGGGACCCCCTGAGGCCCCCGAGCACACAGAACCCTGTAACACAGCAACATTCATAACCTGGCTGGCGAGATTGAATTACCTGCCCCTGGAAGAATAAAGGAGGCATTCAGCCATTTTTTTAAAGTCCTTTCCCCTGCCAAGGCCAGACACCACGGTGACAGTCGAGCACAGAGGCAGAGAAACACGAGCCCTCACCTCTCCCTCCGAGGGTGACCCCGATCTGCCCCACATCCCCCCCTTCTCCGACCCTTTAACACCCAGGGAAGCACATGCTTTGCTCACCCGTCACGAGCTCCCTTATCTTTTAATAAAACCTTTAAGAGCAGAAGTCAGGCAATGCCGGCACAAAGGCAGCTCAGCCTCCTCCCGGGACATTAATCATTTTCTTTGACACGTTTTGCTAATTAGCCAAAGCGTTTGCCTCGACAGGGGAGAAATTGGGGCCTGGGAAAAAAAAAAAAAAGGAAAAAAAACATTACAAGAAGGGGGAGAGGTGGAAAGGGAGGAAGAAATGGGGGAAGAAGGAGCTGACGTCACCCCTGTGCTATCCGGCATCCCTGGACATCACCTTGCTGGGAGAAAACCCAGTCCCAACCCCATCCCAAGGATTTTGGGGAGCTCTGATCTGTGATACACATTGTACCTTCCCCATCCCACTCCTGGTTACCCCACTTTGCAGGCACAGAGGGTTATTTGAAACACGCTGTTTGGGGGTTTAACTCAGGGCTTTATCTTTTACACGGCTGTTAATCCTCAGGACACATGTTTCCTATCAGCCCTTGATATTTAACATACGATAAGTGTCTTATTAAATCCCAGGAACTGGCTCCACACAGAACACTCACCCTAAAACCCACCCTGGGGGCACCCCAAAGGCAGACTGGGCACCCCAGCTCCGGCACAGGTTTTGAGTGTACAAGATGTTAGACCCAATAGGGAGAGAAATATAGTGGAATGAAGGCTCCTCTACACAGGAATTCAGCCTTTGCGCTGGGTTTTGGCCCCCTGAGTAGTCACTGCTCCCACGAGTAGGGAGAACCACTTGCAATTTTTAAAATGTTATTTTTAAGGGTTTTTTGGCAATGCTGTGTGACACAGGGATGAACCCATCCCAGGCAGGACTAGCTACTGTCCCAGCATGACTTCCTATTCCAAGAGTCTGACCCAGTTTTGATAGGACCTGATGTTTTTTGGGGGGGAGAGAGACCATAGAGAGAGCAATCCACAGTGAAATCACTCTAATCCACCACACTGAAAAAATAAAATCCCAAGGAGAAAGCATCACCTGCTCATGCCTCCCCCCAGCCCAGCATGGCAAAACATTGGCTCTTGTCCCATCCCTGAACATCAGCTCTCCATCTCAACTCCTTGGGGAAGGGCAGGGCAGAAAACCACACGGCACAATCCCCTTTCCTCCAAGAAACCAAGCATAAGGACAACAAAACAGGGTGATAGAGCCCCCCACCCATGGTAAGGACACCCACCCATGGGTGTCCCCTGCCCACAACAATCAGGCCATTCCCATCCACGGGTACGAGACAGTGGGAGCAGCATCCCAGAGCCACGTCAGTCCTTTGGGGAGCGTTAAAAAAATAAATCACAGCTCTTTGCTCCTCTCCAGCACAAGTTTCTCATTGCTGTGGGATGACACACACCGTCCCCTCCAAAACAACACGCTTTATTATTATTCTGTTTCTAATTTGGGGGTTGGAAATGATTTTCCATCCCAGAATCCAAACCAAACCATTACCCCCTCCCCCCAGAAAAAAATTACTAATGTGCTTTCCAGAGAGCAGTGGCACGGTCAGTGCTCTGCAAGGAGAGGGTGAAGGTTTGATAAACAGGGATGAGCACCAAGGAACATCCTTCTCCATGCTGGTTTCCAAGAAAAAGCGTTAAAAAAAGCAAATTTAGTTAAATACAGAGCTGGCCCAGACTCCTGCTGTAACCAGCTGGGTCTGGGATGTGCTGGTCCCACTGGGAAAGGGCCGTGCTCCATCCCTGCCCTCTGAAGGATTTGGGGAAAAAGAGGTGAAAGGTCAGTATGTGGGAAGCAGCACAGTGCTGGGGACCTGACACATAAATCAGCATCGTTCCCATTTTTGACTGTTCCAACCCAAATCTACCAGTGGATCCTGCTGGCTCCCTCCAAGGCAGCAAGAAGCCAGTGAGGTCCCACTTCTCCCTGTCCTGCCTGGCCTTGGGGACAGTGGGGACACTCAGAGCAAGCCAGGCTGAGTCCCCAGCCCTGTCACCCCAGGTTGTGCCACAAACCTCGTGGAGAGCCTTGGGGGTCCCTGTGCAGCCGGCGGCGCTGGCAGACGTGCCGAAACCGGCACGCAAGGAGCTGGTGGAAACCCTCCAAGCCTCCTCCGCCGTTGTATAAGAGCCGCTCGAAAAATACTAATCCCCAAAAAATTCAACCCTGGGAGCATGACCAGGCCGCCTCCCAGGCAGCGTGGTTTACACAGCCAGCCCTGCACGCATCCAGGAGGGAAAATGCCTTCAGGTGAGCTCTGCAGGAAGGTCAGGGTCTCAAATGTTTTCATACCAATGATCCTCAAAAAAAAAAAAGAGGCAGGCGAGCGAGGCACAGAGGCAGAATCACCCGGCATGCCGAGCGCCGCTGCAAAACAAGTAGTTTTTCCATGAGTCACCAGTGGAAAGACCAGATCAGGCATCCCATGGGTGGGCTTGGCTGGAGCCGGCTCCTCATCCCCACCACGGCTGGGAGGATGTTTGGTGTGGGGATGCTGCATGTGCAGTCCTGCTCACTGCATCACCCTCAGCCCCCAGCTTTCCTCAGGCTGCTTTGGGGTCACACTGGGATGGATTCAATGGAATCCCCAAGCGTTGGAGGGTCTCAGGATGCGGGGATGCATCCTGGTGCTGTTTAGACATGGGAAGTGGGGTTTAGTCTGTATGAGCAGTGCAAGATTTTCCTGACCTCCCTTTCCCTGAACAGACAGTGCACATGCAGACCCAACGTGTGCCCTTCACCGTGGCCTCGGGGCACTTCATTGCTCTGCCGCTGCCCCCCGCACCCATGGTGTCCCCTAAAACCCTCAGGGAAGGAGGGAGGCAGCGGCAGAAACATAAATAAATAAAGAACTAGTGAAGGAGCACTACGAAACAAACAGGTTTGATTTATCGGTGGCGGGAAGGGGCGAGTGCGATGACAGGCAGCGCAGGAAGTCCCTGGGACCGTAAATCCCAGTGGGAGTGGATAAAGCTTCCATGCGCTGGGTGGGAGGTTACGGGGAGGGCGGCGGGTGAAGTTTAGGGAAACTGGGGTGGGGTGGAGTGTCTTTTCTGGTTTTTAAAAGGGCGGCGATGAAGGGGAGGCGACGCCGCAGCCCCGAGGCAGCGCCCAGGGCAGGGTGCCCGCGGCAGCCCGGGAAGGGACGGGATCGCATCCCCGGGAGGACTGGAGCTCCGTCCCGTCATCACCACCCGCACAATAACAGCAACCCTGGCTGTGTTGTGGGTACAGAAACGGCACGTACTTGTTGCTGGCCGTGTTTCCTGGCAGCCCTAAGGCAGGATTTGGCTGCGCAGGAATTTGGAAGCTGCCTTAAATCCAGAAAGAAATGAGAAAAGGCTGGGAGCGACTTTGTGGGCAGAGTTCAGCTGCAAATCCCTGCTCGGCAGCGGCTCAGCGCGGGGCCCCGGCCGCGGCCGCCCTCTCCCGACGCACGGCAATAGGGATGAGGTCGGAGACACGGCTGCCGGGGATCGTGTCCTGTTCCATGGGGACATCGAGGAGGGCTCCCCAGCACTCCCGGACACCACTTCCCTCCTCTCCCTTCCCTAAAAGCCTCCTTGGCCGCAATGCCCCTCAGCATCCAATCCTCCATCCCAGCTCACCCCACTGAGATGAACCCAATCACAGATAGAGCTGATATGAAATTCCATAAATCCCCCTCACCTCTTCCCTGGGGCTGCCGGTGGCCACTCTCACCTCAGGGATGCACTGGCTCAGCTGCAGATGGATGCCAGACTTCACCCTTATCTCGGGATGGACAGGACAGCAATGGCATTGCTGGGAAGATCCATGGTCAGCAGCCTTGCTTCCTGCTCATTTGGAGGGAATCAAGGAGGAAAGGAATGAAAAAGAGGCAGGAGGTGCCAAGCACTCTAAAAATCAACAACAAAAATGAACAGAAATTAAAATTCACCCCAGAGCCTCCTCTGGATATTCAAGAAGGTGTTTCCCTGCCTCTGGAACTCTGCACAGGGAGTTGCCCTCGTCCAGGGTCGGTGATGGGGTCACCTCAGCCCCACACCCCTCGTGAGCCCAGCTCTGGCTCTTCATATTCCCAGATTCACTTTCAGGGATCTCTCTGCTGCATCCCAGCTCCTTGTATTTGTGTGAAATTCAGAGTTTCTTAGGAAAAACAAGCCCAGGGCCTGTAATGGGGGATTTACCTGCATCTCTGCTTCTCCAGTGACATCCCTGGGTGGAGAGGGTCCCAGTGATGGATGATTCCCAGCCCTGCATCACCAAAATCCAGGTTGCACCTTGTCCTGGAGAGCCAAGGAGAAGCAGCCAAGAGCTTTCCACCACAGTGATTTTTTATTTCACTTGGGAGAACGTTTTTAATTACAGGTGCCATTACCCCACGCACTTGCTGTATAAACACGACCCCTCCGTGGTGGTTTAAATGGACTGAAGTCACACACCATCCACTGGGATGAACAACTGGCCCTGCCATTCTGCCAGAGGGAAAGGGAAGCCCAGGTCCAGGGAGCAGAATTTCTGCAAGAGTACCCCAAACCCATCATCTTTGTATTTCCCAGCTCTCTCCCCCTTCAGGTACAGGGACAAACACAGGACCCAGTGCCACATCCTCTGCGAGTCCCTATATTTGCCTTAAAGGGATTTTCCTGCCTTTTTGCCCCATCTCAAGCACCATCCTTTCCTACAGCACCTGGGACATGCCAACACTGTTCAACATCTAAGGTTTTATATATTAATCCCTTAACTCCCAAACTGGAGCTTGCAGGGGAAAAATCAAGTCTGATGGGAATGGGATTCCAGCCGCAGCACTCACGGTTTTTCAAGCATCTCATTTGGCTTCTCGAGCCTCATTTTGGGGAGCAAACAGCTTTTCCATACTGGACTGTGCCTCCTGCTGCCTCTCCCTGATGAAGTAGCCCTCAAACATTGTGAAAAGGGCTTGGCTTTTCTTTGGTGGAAAGCTGCTTTCTCGGTAAAATCTCAAAAACAAGCTTTCTGTAGGAAAAAACAGATGGTTTGTGATGACTGGGGTTGCTCATCACGGATTCAGGGCTGGCTTTGGCCCCCCCGCTGTGTCCATCAGCCCCCCAAAAAAGCCATTTTTGCTCATTGCTAATAAATCCCTGCAAAGAGGGGAGGGGAAAAAAATTCCCTGCGTGCCCTCACTTATGCACAGACAAGGAAATGTCGTTAAACTAAACCAAACAAACGAATCCAGAGGCAAAGAGAAAAATCACATTATCCCGAATCATAAATCCCGGAGAGGGGTATTTACAGGCTGAATTGCCAAGTGCATTGGAACTGCAAGAGCACCCGAAGAGCAGATAGCCATAAAGGCAGACAACGGCCCTGGAAAAAATGCTTTGATTAGGATCTGGGCAGCATTCAGCCCAGATGTTCATTTGTCAATGGAAGAGGGACGGGGGGGAGGTGAGAAAGGCTTTAAATTAATCTTTACAACTAGAAAGGAGCTTGTAATACACACCATATGGGGAGCCACGTCCCTGGAGCCCCCTCAGCCTCCCCCCAGCCCGGCGTGTTCGGAGCCAGGCTGGGACCCTCCGGCCGGAGCGTGTCCTCCTCCTTCACCCCCTTGTTTTCTCCATGCACCAAACACCCCGTGAACCCAAAACCCTTCCACATGTGCTTTTTTTTTACAGCGAACAAAACAAACTGCAATTCTTCTTCTAACACCAGATCTCTTCTATTATTCCCCCCCCCCCTTCCCCAGACCCAGATACCTGCTCCCCACTCCTTCCAATATCCACATGTGGTTTCTTTTTAACCCTTCCAAGATGCCGGCGGTGGTGAGGGGGGGGGGGAGGGTTGTGTGTGGAGAGGAGGGACGAGGCTGTTTATTAAATGCCAACCATTCAAATTAATTCCCCTAATGGACTCGCCGACATCATGGTGTGCATTTAAATGAACGCTTTGTCATATTTCATAGCCAACCTGCAGCTCTCTGCAGAGCAAACCTGCTGGAAAGCTGGGAACAGCAGCAATGACAGCGACAAACCTATGGAGAGATAAATAAGAATTAAATACAAATCCCAAATGCAACATGGGGGTGACAAGAGAGCCCAGGAAGCCCTTGGAAATTTGGAGGTGGGGTGCAAGCAAGACCCTAGGCAAGGCAGAAAGAGCTGTGTGATGGCAGCTGGAGCTTCTTTTCCACACAGGAGGAGGAAAAACCTTCTCGCTGCTGGGGCAGGAGGGACCAGAGACCCCTTGCCTGGGACAGAGACCCCTTGCCCAGACCAGCACAAAGCCACTGCTTCCCAGCTGGAGTCTGGGCTGTCCCTTCCACCAAAATCCCACCACAGCAGGGACCAGCCCCAGCTACCCCTGCTCAGCTGCAGGGAGCTGGTGAGGAGGCAAACCCCCTACATCCTGCACCCCCAGCCAGTGCATCCCCCTGGACCACCGATTTGGGGGCTGACAGTGGAGCTGCCTGGCCAGCATCCCTCCCCACAGCACGGGTTGGGATGCTGAATCCCAACCCTTCCTCGGCAAGCTGTTACCAAACATCCCAGCTCCTGGCAGAGCATCCCTGCTGCTCCTGAGTAAACAGGCCGTCCCCTCCCCAGCACCCCTGGGACAGCCACAGGTTACTCACCTTGGCTCCAGCTTCAAGAGCTCCCAGTCCTTTCATCAGCCCAATAGAAAGTCCATGCACACACACATACAAACACACCCCCTGTGTGCTGCAAGGACCAGCTATCTCCTGCTCACAACCTCTCCTCCCATCTTGTTCCCTCTCTTCCCCCACCTTTAAGAGCTGCTGGAGGGATTTTGAAGGTCACTGAAGACCAGTGGGCCAAGAAAGTAAAAATCATAGAATCACAGAGTGGTTTGAGTTGGAAGGAATCCCAAAGATCATCTCATTCCAACTCCCTGTCATGGGCAGGGACATCTTCCATTATCCCAGGTTGCTCAAACCCCCATCCAAGCTGGCCTTGGACACTTCCAGGGATGGGGCAACCACAGCTTCTCTGGGCAACCTGTGCCAGTGGCTCACCACCCTCACAGGGAAGAATTTCTTCCCAAAAATCAAATCTAATCCAGCACTGTTTGCAGAAGGTTCTCATTTAGAGAAACATCTGGAGTCAGCACTTCTCCCTCAGAGGGCAGCAAAGGGTTCAGAGGACACCAGCCCTCATGCTGGGGAGGAAGAGGAGGAGGAAGAAGCCCATTTGCCTTGTCCCCCAGGGAAGGGACACAGCAGGTTTCTGCTTGGTGTCTGTTACCTGGCCTGGAGAGAGCAAGGCTCCATCCCCTGGAACCCCAACCAGCAGAACAGCCCCTACAGGTCACAAAGCCTTGGGCACCAAGGAAGTGTTAGCAATGCTCAAGGGCCCTCCAAAGGGACACCTGGGTTTGGCTGAAGGACCCTGGGGACCCGAGGGGACAGGAGGGATGCTTCTGGTCCACTGGGCTGTGGGTGAGTAGGGAAAGGGGCTTCCAGAGGGACAGCACATCTGGGGGGGGGCAGCCTGCTGTCACAGCACAGGCAGGGGATGTCACCCCCTTTACCAGGTCCTCCTGGACCTTCTCCCAGGTCCTCTCAGGGTCACAGAGCAGGAGCATCCCCTTAAACAGCAACACGTGGGGTGCAACCTAAGCCCTTCCTGGGGGCTTGCAGGTGAGGAAGGGTCCCATTCCATCCCATCCCACCCCACCCCTGGCAGGTCCCCAGAAGGTGGCAGGTCCAGGCTGCAGTGACACTGGGCTGCAGTGACATCTGCTGGGCTCCCTTTTGGGGACCCCCCAGCCCAGGTTGGCCACAGCCCCTCTGGCCTTGCACAGCCCCACCCCCAAGCAGGACCCGCTCCCACACTAAGCCCAGAGCCTCCAGCTGAGGCTCCGTGTTTCCAGCCCCGAGCCCACCCTGATCCTCTCCAGCTCCTGTTCAGACACCTCAACACCACATCTCTCACTGCTAGCTCCTGGGAAAGCCCCCAGATCACCGCAGCCAGAGGAGAGGGGTAGCACTCCCCAGCCCCCACGTTCCCTCGGGAGGAGTCCCAGGGGGTGGTCTCCATGCTTCTGAAGAGACCAAAGAGCTGAAAAACCTGCATTAAGGGAGAAAATGCACAAATTAGGAGTGGGGGCAGGGATTGGAGGGGGGGGGGAGTTGTTTATCTAGAGCTGATTTTGATTTTCCTCTTTCAAATATCAGCAGGATGCTGAGCCTCGCCTCGTTATGCAAATAGAAGCAATTAGAGCTCACCCAGGCTCTGCCCACGTGATGGTTTATGGCACTCGCAGAAATCCTTCCTGCTGCATGAGAGGAATAACAACACCTCCCTGTGCCCGCTCCAGACCTGCCATGGCCAGGGACATGGGAAGGTTGGGAATGGGAGCTCTGGAGCTGAGACAACTCACCTCCCATAGCCACCCCCGGGCCTTCCAAAGTCCTCAGAGAAGGACTTTTCCAAGGAAAAATCTCCCCCTCTTCCATGGAGAAACTAACTGCACCGACAGCAAATCCCCACTGGCTCTTGGGATGGGACAGGAGGATGGGTGGAGGGGGAGAGAGCATCACTGGGAGCAATGCCAGAACCTTTTTCTCCACCAAGCCACCAAGTCAGCCCCCAGCAGGACATCTGGGACTCAGTTCTGAGCGGATGCACTTTGCTGAACTCCAGCAAAAAAGAGGCGAAGCAAAAAGTCCTAAATTCCCTGAACTGGGTTTAAAAAGTACAGAAAACTCCCACACACACCACCCCCAGTCCCACCTTGCCTGCAGGAGGAGGTGGCTCCAGTCCCCATCCGGCACTTCACCTCCCCAGGGCCACGCGCCGACCTGCAGGGACCAGACACGGGAGTGTAAATCAGGCTGGGCTCCCATAAATCCATCATCTCCTTCCTGATTTACATCCAGGTAGCCAGGAGGATTTACTTGCAGTACCTGCCTTGAGTTTCCCACCCCCAGAGGAGCAGAGGGGAAAGAAAAAAAGACAGGCTCTTTCCGTATTGATCTTGCTCCTAAATCTCTTTTTTTTTTTTCCCTTCTTCTTTGGATGTAAATGGAGATTGATGAGCCCAGGCCAGCGGCTCCTCACCTCTGAGGGCCATTTCTCTCTGTTCCTGGGGGGAGGAGTGGGCAGAGGGATGCCCACAAGCCCACAGAGGCCATCACCCCATCATCTGTGGGCAGGAGAGAGCTCCCAGCACCTGGCTCAATGTGGAGGTACTTGCTGAGGAGTGGGATAAGGGACACCTTCATGGATGGGGCGGGATGAGGGACATCATCACAAATCAGTTTCTCAGTAGTATGTCATCTAAGCCAGCAAGCATCCCAGAGGAACTCTCCAGCCTGCATCCCTGTTCTGACACCATCCCCAACTCCATCTCTGCACCAGCTGCTCTTTCCAGGGCAGGAAAGGGGTGGGAGGTGCAGCCAGGGAGCCCTTTCCATCTCCCCGAACAAGAGACACTCCACCTCATATAGTGAGGGGCGGAGACATGGAATTCTGCAGCCGCAGGATGGTTCAGGATTAAGACCCTCATAACCCACCCCGAAGGTTGCCAGTGTGACCCAAAGCTTTAGGAATTACCCAAGCACCTGGCAGCGGGAGCTGCAGGCAGCAGGAGCCGGCAGGGAGCTGGGAAAGGGCTGAGTCAGCACCCGGAGAGTCGCCCCCAGCCAGGCCATTCGTCAGGCAAAGGTTGGGAAGGAGCTTTTCTTCCGTAGCAGGGCCAGGCAAATAATTCACAGCGGATAAATAATTCACCGGGAGTTTAGCCGCCCTCTGGCAGCGGATTGCCTGGGAGCTGTTAGCAATTATACCGTATTTACTTGCGATCCTGAATTTTCAGTTGAATTATTCAGACAAGTCATTGCTGGGGCTGAGGAGAAGCCCGGGGAAAGGAGGCGATACGTGCAACGACAGGAAGAATCACCGTCAGGACGAGTCGGTGGCCGCCGAGGACGCGGCACCGTTGTGATTGTTCGGTGTCCACAGTGCCAGCGGTACCTGGCACCGCGGCCGGAGGCGACACAGGAGCGAGGGGATGGATGTGGAGTAGGCACCAGATCGTTGGGTTTCCACCACCCCCCTCCATTTCCAGCCAAAAGCCCCCCAGACATCCCTGTGTTTTCTGTTTTCCTACCAGCAAATTCCGCTGCCTGAGGAAGAGGAGACGGAGGAGAGGCAGCGCGAGCAGAATAAATTCAGATTTCTGTTCGGATGAACGTCTCCCAAATTGTTTTAATGAGGAATCTCCCTGGTTCTCCCGGCAGCAGGGATGCTCAGCGGCTCCTCTGCAGCCACACAAGCCCACGTGGTGGGGACACCCACACGTGTCTTAACTCATCCAGAGTCGTCAGGTGAGGGCTTGGCCTCTGCATCCCACAGTGGACCAGAGCTGGCCTGCAAAGACACACAGAGATGGGTTTTGGGGGGAAAAAGAATAAAAATACTCAATTCAAGCAAAAAAGAAATTTTCTTGAAGGACAAAGCAGTGCTTCCAGCAGAACACAGGAGGAGCAGCATTGCAGGGACACGGAGAATGTCACAGAGAGTGAGGCTTCTCAGGCACCGACCGCTGGATGTGCTCCGGCTCCCGGAGGGGTTTGGCTCTTCCTTCCAGAACAGAAGACTCTCCACAGCAGTGAGAGCACCAGCTTCTGGCCCTTGCCCAGGCAGCTCCATCTGCTCTTCATGCCCAGGAGAAGAGACTGATGAAGGAGAGAAGACTCAAGACCAGGTTAGATGGGGCTTTGAGTAACCTGGTCTAGTGGAAGGTGACCCTGCCCATGGCAGGGGGTTGGAACAAGGTGATCTTTACGGTCCCTTCCAACCCAAACTGTTCTGGGATTCTCTGAAGACTCAGACCATGCAAGGCAGCCTGGCACCTTCCCCAAGTCACAGCCATGGATCCTCAGCCAGCAGTCAGGCTGGAATCATCTCTCTTCAACATGAAGATGCCGTTGGAATTGACAGGACCCTGAACCTCCCACCTGCAGAGAGAAATTTGGCAGCTCACTCCTGAAAACACCCAGAGGGACTGAAGAGTCTAATAATAATAATAATAATAATAATAATAAAATAAAATGTAATTTCATAGTTGGATATTTTTAAGACCATCTTGTGATTTTAAGGGTTTAACTCACATTTACCCCTTGGGGCTGGCAGTATCTGTCCCAGCAGCATGACCAAGTGTCCTTGTCCCTTCCCATGGTGGGAAGCAGCTTTGGTAGAGCTGGCAGCTACTCTCCTGCCTTTCCAAGTCACTCCAGGCACACACAATGCCCAGGGGACACAGCAAATACCTCTCCCCTCTCCTTTGGAGGGATGTGTCCCAGCCCACAGTGCCACAGTCCCCATGCAAGGCACAAAGCACCCCCCTGAGCCAGGAGCTTTGGCAAATTCCCATCCTCACTGACTGAGGCTCCTGAATTAACAAACCTCTCTCTCCATGAGCCAACTGCTACAGGCTCTGGATCAATGGAATAGGTAAAAAAGAAGAAAAGTGAAATAAATTTGCATGACGGATCCCTGACGGATGTTTGATTCCACAAAAGGAACACGTCTCCTCCGGCTGGGCTGAGATCCTCAGCAATAACAACCCTTCCTCCTGTTTTCTCTTGAATTGCCAGTCATGCATTTAAAATTATTTTCTAAAAAAGAAAGAAAAAAAAGTGACCACCTCAGGAGATGCTGACTCGGAGGCACGGTCCCATGGGGAGGCGTATGAGAAAGAGGGAGACACCAGAACCACACCAGCTGCTTTCTGGGCTGCCAGGAAGATGAAGCCCACAGGAGGGTTCTTCCACTGCCTGTAAGGGACTCACTCATGGGCATCAAGTGCTGCCTTCCTCTACTTCTTGCTCCTCATCCTCACCTGGCCCCTGTCAGCTCCTGGGATGGTCAAGTGATCCTCAGCCTGCAGCTGT